AGATATTCATAAGCACTTAGCACAGCTTTCCGGGGTTTGGAGTAGTTTCCCTTTGTTTTCTTCGTCTTTTCCCCCCGCTTGTAACTTCGCGCTCTTCCCCCGTCATCACAACGCGGAACGGATCGCCACGGCCTGCGCCGCGGGTCCCCGGCAATGCCGCCGGAGTTCTTCCCGCGGTCTCTGCTGCCACCTCGTGGCCAATGCGCGGAACTGCCGCTGCCTGCTGCTCAGGCCGGCAAGCGGTACAACGCATGCGCGTACAAACGCGGAAGTGGCGTTTAAACCCGCTCTGCGCCGCTAATCCGCCGCTCTCTATGGTGATCAGTCCTCCAGGTAATAGCGAACACGCGCGCGTCAACTGAAAGATAGCAATTGTTTCGACAGACCACTGCGGGGACGGGCATGCAGCCGATTCTTGGACCGCCGGCTCAGCGATAATTTCCCCTTCTAATCCAGGATGCAGAAACAACACTCCATTCCCACAATTCCCTACTCTTTTTCTTTTGAAGTGTTGATTTCTGCAATTCCTCCCTTTTTAAAGTACAATTCTAAAGACCTCTTCACTTTCCATTTCGTCTAATATCATCATTTTATCCGAGTACGGTGGTAGTTCCACTACTGTTTGCTTCAGCACCAATCCCCCCACGCAGGGGATAATACAGCAACCGATCTAATGCGTCAGACCCTGATCTGTACTGCGCCTGCGCCAAGCACTGGCCCGTACTGCGCCTGCGCCAAGCAATGGCCCGTACTGCGTCTGCGCCAGACACTGTCCCGTACTGCGCCTGCGCCACACTCTAGCCCGTACTGCGCCTGCGCCACACCCTGGCCCGTACTGCGCCTGCGCGGAACACTGGCCCGTACTGGGCCGGCGCCACACCCTGGCCCGTACTGCACCTGCGCCAAGCAATGGCCCGTACTGCGCCTGCGCAGAACACTGTCCCGTACTGCGTCTGCGCCAAGCACTGTCCCGTACTGCGTCTGCGCCAAGCAATGTCCCGTACTGCGTCTGCGCCAGACACTGGCCCGTACTGCGCCTGCGCCAAGCACTGGCCCGTACTGCGCCGGCGCCAAGCCATGGCCCGTACTGCGCCTGCGCCACACCTTGGCCCGTACTGCATCTGCGCCAAGAACTGGCCTGTACTGCGCCTGCGCCAAGCCCTGGCCCGTACTGCGCCGGCGCCACACCCTGGACCGTACTGCGCATGCGCTAGACCCTGGCTCGTACTGCGCCTGTGCCAAGCAATGGCCCGTACTGCGCCTGCGCCAAGCCCTGGCTCTTAGTGCGCCTGCACTAGACTCTGGCCCGTACTGCGCCTGCGCCATGCACTGGCCCGTACTGCGCCTGCGCCACATTCAGTTCTGTACTGCGCCTGCGCGGAGCATTGTCCCGTACTGCGTCTGCACCAGACTCTGTCCGGTACTGCGCCTGCGCTCGACTGTCCGCTACTGCGCCTGCGCCAGGCACTGTCCCGTAGTGCGCCTGCGCCAGACACTGTCCCGTTTTGCGCCTGCGCCAGATTCAGTCTCGTACTGCGCCTGAGCCTGACACTGTCCCCTTCACTGCACTACGCATGCGCTGGGCCTTAAGGCCACTACCCATGCGTCTGTAATTGCTGAGCACTACGTATGCGCTGTTACCGACACCGCCGTACGCATGCGCTTATTTGACGCAGCGCTACGTTTGTTCCTATTTTGAAAGCGCGCTACGCATGCAACGCTGAACCAATAGGTGTTCCGCGACGCTCGCTTGTGCCGCTGGGAGCAGAAGCGGTCTGTTCCCGGTTTGGGCTCGAGAGTAAAACTGCCCGAGGAAATAGACAACGGACATCCTGCCTTGGAAGGGAGGAGAATTTCGCTGAGCCGGCGGTCCAAGGACTCAGTGCTCGCCAGCACATTAGTGGGTCGCAAAATGTTTACGGGCGCATGCGCACTGTTGCCTGGAGGACTAAGTATAATAAAGATTGATGGATTAGCTGCGCAGAGCGACGCGAACGTACGTCTGCCACTTCCGTGTGGCTGTACGCATGCGTCGTGCTGCCTGCGGTACAGGAAACGACCGCAGTTCCACGAATTGGCCACTCGGCGGCAGCAGAGACCGCAGAAAGAACAACCGATGCTGTTGACGCAGACCTGCAGTGCAGTGCTTAGTGATCCGTTCTCTCGTGATGACATGGGAAGAACACAAAGTTAAAAAAGGGAGAAAAAAAAAAAAAAAAAAAAAAAAGATGAAAAACAAGGAAAATTTCTCCAGATCCAGGAAGCTTGCGCTAAGTGCTTGTGAATATCAGTAAAAAATGATCGAATTGATGTTGTCATGTTTTGGTTTTGTTTTTTTTGCCAGCGTCTCTTACATTGTTTTCAAATATTCAAGCACTAAAATCTAACTGCCGAGCAAATTTAACGATAAGGAAATGAAGGCATTATTGCTGTGCCAGGGGAAGCAGCACAATCCGCCGCGCTGCAGCGCCGGCCATCGTCCACCGCCCGCCGCGGGCGTGACCTGGGGCGGTGTGTGCGGCGCGCCACCTTGCTTCCCGGGAAGGCGGCGCGGGCAAAAAGCGTGCTGCCCTCACCTCCCGTGGGGCCCTCACGGCCTGCAGAGCCCTCGGCTTATGAAAGGATTACTGGCAAAGGTGCACTGTGCGGAAAAGTTACTGAGATGACGTCGAGCTTTGCCGGTGGATCTGTGGTCTGATCGGGACCGTCAGTGCCCTTCGCACAGGACCGGCTGTGGAGCGCTCGGAGCACCCCCTGAAACTCCCGTCGTCCTGGCGGCCAGCCGGCTCAGTACTGAGGGCGGAGCTACGATAACGCCGCCCCGCCGAACGCAGTAACTCAACCAATCGCCGCTTTCAGGCCGCGCTCACTGCGCGTGCGCCCGAACTCGTCACGGCCCCGGCCCCTCGCCAGGAGCGTTCCACCAGCCGGAGAGGGGGAGAAGCCGCAGGGGTTGCTGTGCTCTCCCTAGTCCGCCGCACTGCGGTGGCAGCGCCGCCGCCTCAGCTCCCCCCCGCCTTGCCGCACCGGTGGTCTATGCCGAGCACGGGCAGCCGGCTGCGGGGCGTGCCGCCGTTCCCCAGGTGAGTGCGTTCGTCGTCCCTCCCGCCGTGGCGTCGTCAGCACTGCCAGCGTGGAGCTGGCCCGTGCCGAGGCGGCAATTTCCGGTGGGGAGGCGGCGTGCAGCGGAGGCTCCGCCGGCTATGGACGCGACTCTGGAGAAGGTCTGTGCGGGCGGCTGCCGAGGCCGGGCCGGGACGCCCGCGAGCGGCCGGGCGCTGAGGCGCGGTGGGCCTGCGAGGCGAGCGGCCCGGAGGGGCGAGCGGGCTGCGGCGGTCGCGTCGCTCGATGGGGCGGGAGCCGAGCGGACGGAGCCGGGGCCGGTGTTTGGCGGGAGCTTGGGCTTACGCTTAACGCCTGCTTTGTGTCGAGCGAGCCTGAGGAACTTGAAGCACCGGCGGAGCCCTGCTGCTGCTGTATTTTCTGGGAACGTTAAGCTTCAGCAGGAGAATAGTTGACTAATTTTATTTCTCTCTTTTTTTTTTTTTTTAATTGTCATTTCATCCTGGAGCTGTTTGCAGCCCCAGGTTTGCTCTCCTGTTCCAGTGCACAAAGCAAATATTCTGTTACAGCGTAAGTCACTGACTAAACTTACACTGTAGTCACTGTGAGTCAGTGAGAATCTATCGGTTACCCAGGATCTGTCACACTTGTGCTGGCTCTTACTGCACCTGCTGTGCTTCCTGCAAGGGAACGGGTTGCTCATGCTGTGACTGCTTGTGTGTGGCTCAGCACCGTTGTTGCTGTCTTTGAGACAGTGTTTATTTGAAATAAATTATTTCTTATGCAGTTGAGATCTTAATGTATCCCTTCCTCTTTACATCATTTACCAAGCATGCTTAGTCCTATGTAATCCTTGGAAGCAGCTAGACAAGTGTGAATAGGATGTGCTGTTGTAAGATGAGTGAAAAGGAAATTCAGAAAGCCTCTTCCTGATATAGTTAGTGAGTTGGTAGCAAAATATTTTGCTATTTTAAATGCAGATGAAAGATGCAGTACTTGAGACTTGGCTTTGGCAGGCTTTAAAAACTTCAGATCCTTACTGGCCCTAGCAAAAATCACACTGACTGCTGCTTATTCAAGAAAGCTTAATGAAGTAACATCTAACTGAGCATTTTACAGTTTAGAGTATGCTCTTTGTTATGCTTAAGTCCAATTGACTTTAAAGAAATGTTGATGCTTTACTGACAAATTTTTTAAAAGTTTTGTTGGACTAGGTCACTGTAAGCAAAGAAAATGCGATGCAAGAATTAAACGCTTAAATTTCTTAACGAAGCCCATGTTTTGGTTATTTGTATTGTTGATGGTGAGCTGTAGTTTGTAAACAGTGACGACTCTGAGAACTAACGTGCTTGATAGTCAGTATACGCAAATAAGTAGATATCCGTAAACTGATGCCATTTGTTTTACTTTTTTTTTTTATCATGGCTTTTTTGTCTTCGGATGAGAAAAACTGTGGTCCTCTGTATAGTAAATATCATAGTACAATTATTGTCTTTTAGCCACTTAGCAGTTAGTACCCTCATGTGATAGCTGTTGATTGCTGTAATCACTAAAATCTGCATTTTATTTGTTCTTGTGCATGATATGTAAGAAGCATTCTTTCTAAATCAATTTGAAATTCATCCAGGTTGGAATATGTTTATACTTGAAAACTTGTGACCATTTACCTTGTGCCTGTTTAAGGAGTATCAAAATGCACCTGGGTGCCTTTTACTTGAACCACGGATTCTTTTCTTTTTATGAACTTAAACATACAGCTTACTGGAATATCACTGATAAGTACTTTATGCCTTGTATTAAAATTTGTCAATAAAGAAGGCATTTTGGTAGGATTACGTAACTAGCAGAAAGCTAGGGTGACATCAAATGACTACATTTATTAGTTTCATGCAGATTAAGTCTGTAAGTAGAATGTAAATTTCTTGAGAATTGAAAATATTCTGTGATAGGTTTGTGAGGAAAACTTGTAGACTCCAAAACACAGGTCTGCACATCAATGGTCTTTGATTTTGGAGATGAACTCTTTTATCAGCAGACATGGCTTTTTTTTTTCCTAGTATATGAACATTGTGTTTCATAAGAATTATTTTCTTAATGAAATTCAGAAATCTTCTTTGGGTGAACTTAAGATATAAATTTTTCTGGAAGCCTAAGTTAAACTTAAGAAATGTGAGTAGCAGCAGAACTCTTTTTGTTGTTGTTGTCACCATTTGTGTTGTGATTTGTGAGCAATCTTCTGAAGGATTTAAATATTTTAAGTTTCAAGTAAGGTGACTTCGGTTTAAAAAAAAAAAAAAAAAAAAGACAAATTCTTTACAACTTCTTGCTGTCTCCATGTAGTGGAAATGCTAAGTCGTAGCCTGAAACAATGATGGAGCACCTGGTGGGAAGGCAGGGCCAGCCAGGGGAGCTCAGGTGCATGCAATGCAATGCAGTCAGTTCCACTGAGTGACTGGAATGGTTGGGCCAGGATGCACCCCTTCCCAGCTCTCATTTAAGGGCTGGCAGCAGAGATGAGGGGATCTCCCAGGAGATTCCTACATACCTGAAGACCTTGCAGGCCTTCCAAAGGTAAGCGGTTTCTTACTCTTATTTCTATACCCCCTGCTGTTTTGTCTGAGTGGATTCTCACTCGATGTGGCCTGGGACTTTGTTGCTCTGCTCTCTTGTTGCACTTTCCATCACATTCCACTCCACAGTGCTGCTTTTCTTAAACATGAAAAAAACAGGGTTTGTCGCTCAGCATGTGATTTCTGTCTCCTGTTACTGCATAAATTACCATGACATCCTTGTAACTTTATGGAAAACATAAGGCAGCAGATGTGCATGCAATTGTACTGTACATTAAGGAAGTGATAAAGTTCAAAAGAACAGAGCCTGTAAGCAGAAGCCTTGTGTTAATATGGTGCCATTTTCATTTGAGTCATAAAACGGCTACTTTTTTTGTTACCCGAGGTATTTCTTTGCCCGTGGAATAAATACGGTGCTCTTATAGGTAAAGAATACTGATTGTTCTTTGAGACTAATTTATAGTTGAGAACAGTATTTATTTTTTAGAAATAAAACTTTTTAATGGGCAAATGTAATAATGTAAGGAGGAAAAGGAGGCACATTTCTGATGAGAATACTGTGCTACATCTGTGGGTCTCTTTGCACACGTGTATTTATGTAGACTGTTTAAAAGCATTCCTTTCTGATGTTCCTTTTCTGTGTACAGAAAAGCCAGCAGACATTCAAAATAAAAGCTGTGAAACACTGGTATTCTCATTTTTTAAATTTATAATTAATGATCAGTTTTATCACAACTGGAGATAAGCACTTCCCCTGTTGCACAGTGACATGAGATGTGAAATACTAACATGATATCTAAAATATTTTACTGTTCAAAGTACTTAAAAATAATAAATTCAGAGCTACGGGATACAAAAGTGTAAGCACAAATCAGGCACTTCCCAAAATTAACTTTAGTGAATTAGATTTTTACATCTTAAAGGCAGTAAATAGTAAAAATCAGAATAAGCTGGTCAATGTCAGGATTTTGGAAGAATGGGAGGTAGAAGTGCTAGTGGATGCCTCCTTAGGGCGTGAAATACTGTTGCGTATTGTAATGCAAATGGAAGAAGGTTCGCCTTACTGTGATTAGTCAGATCCTGTTGATTCCAGGAAGGGGACTGAGTGCAGAATCTAAGACTTATGTAAACAGTTTCAGTTTCTGAGGTGCTTCTGCAAGTAGTGTCCCAGTTTTTTTTGTAGTTATTTCCCTGCCTGCATTTCTAATGCCTGGTCAGCAAAGGAAAAACATACTAAAAAGGCTTTCATATTAATGTACGAAGACAAACTTTCAGCAAATTTGTTGCTTCTTCAAATGTTTGTGTGTTTATCAATCACTGCTGTCCTTCTGTATTGTTCCTTTTCACTTCATTATAGAATTACCCTGATCTGGTTGAATAAAATCTTATCTTCATGTCTTTCCTCCCCACTTTTTCTGTATCTTTTGCTCTGCTCCATAAGCCTGTAGACGTTTACAGTGTTTTCTCAAACAGTGGTGGCAGTGGATTTTGACGGTGTGTCTGGATGTGCTTACTAATGTTAGAGATTGGAACTACCACTGGTACTGGGAATCTAAAAAGTATCGGAGCTGAGAAGCACCGTTGCATTCGCTGGGTCACCCAGTCTACTACTTACTTCTGGATGCCTAAGGACACAAATTGAAAGCAGTCACACCACTCCCCTGTCATTCAGTTCTGCAAAAATTATAGGCCTAAGCAATCACATAAATCATCTCAGACTTGACCAGAAAAAAAAAAGCAAAAATGCGTTTAACACAGTTAAGTTCATGGGATGAAGAAAAATTTAGGGCTGTGAAAATTTTGCTGTGCTGGGTGGAGGGTTGTCTTAGGACTTGGCAGAAGGAACCACAGAGATGAAAATAGTTTTGTTGGGATGATACAAGTGAAGGAGCAAACCCTGCAGGAGGTTAAAAAAATAAAAATAAAAAATTGATCTGGTTGAAGTGTGTTGGTGAAAGGAAGTGACCTGAGGTGGGTCTTTAGTGCACCCTCCTTTAAAATTGTATTTACGTTGTTGTCCAATGAAGCTTTTACTTCTTCCAAGAGGGGTTGTATAAGTACTCACATGGAGAAAAAAGGCATTGAGTAACAGAAGCAGGAGCTTATTGTGTAGGCATGCTTTTAACAACTGTAATCAAGAAGCTAGAAAAAAGACATACCTCATCATAAATAAACAAGCAGAGAAAAGCCTTGAGATTTATAGTTTTTGTCAGGGACAAAAAAAGATAAATAGCTAGAAGTCCTGCATAAACCAAAGCATGGTAAAGAAATCTGAGTTTCCTAGCATAATGCATGGGAAGTTGACCTGCAGTGTATTAGAAGTCATTAGGCATTTGAAAATACATTTAAATGAAAGTTAAGTCTAGTTATAAGGCCCTTCTCCGATAAGATTAATAATTGATTTAAAGTTACTAGAAGTAGGAGAAAAAATAGGTTTAGTAAAGCATTTGGTTTAGCTTGTTTCCCATCTACTTCAGAAACTATTGTTGTGAAAATTCAACAGGGAAACCGAAATGAGGAAATGACAGGGAATGCTGGAGAACTGCCTTTTTACTTCTAAGTTTGCTAGTGCGGTCTTAAATTATGTCTTGCTTTTCGTAGGTGACTTTGAAAAAAGAAAAACAACTCTCAAATAATTACTACTCAAGTGTGTTTAAGTATTTCTTAGTTGAACTGGTAATCTAAACAGTAACATCTACAGCAACAACAAATAGCAAACTGACAGCCTATTCAAGGTTTCCCCTGAATTTACATCTGAATGCTGTGTGATCTAAAATCTGCCTTGGTGATATTTTTTAGTGTTGGCTTTCCCATACAGCTTTTCTAGAAGGTAACTGTCTTTTAAAGATAATAGTGTTGAGTTTATCTACTGATCTTGGTCTGTTTTTTGTTTTTTTTCATTGCTTTTTCTTGTTACTTATATGGCAGACGGGCTAGAGAGTTCTTTTTGGTTTCATTTGTTGTTTTTATGAGAATCTGTACGCTATGAGAGCTGACTGTCAGGGTGTAGCGTGCCTTCAAAGAATTGAATCAACTTAACTGAGAATATGGGAATGTCTTTTTCTGGAGACGTGAGTTCTCAGGTGAAATTAAAGGAGAATTTCTAAATCAGATTTGCCACTGAAAGACTTGTATTTAAGATACAATTCTGTTTTCTATTCTCTGTAGAAGGGTTATGGTGTTCCTTAGCACGTTTGTTTTTTAATAGGATGGCATGTGAGATTTTGTATTTAAGGGAATAACTGAGGTTTTATTCATAATGAAGAATGGTTAAGGAAAAAAATCATTCAGTAGGGCTAAAATGGCACATATTTAGTTTTTGTTGTTGTTAAAACGTTATAGCAAGGGCTTACTTGAACACCTTGTGTTTATTTTTTTTCCCGCTCCAATGCTTGCTCTTTCATTCTTCATCATAATCCAAAAGAGATAAGTAGAGATTCCAGAGGATTTTTGAAAAAGTTCTGACTCCTTGTGGTGTTACTGTAAAGTGGTTTATCAGGAAAGACTCAAGCTGAATTGTTAGAAAGTATGCATTCTTTAATAACAGCCCTGGATGCATGGGGGTTACTCTTTTCCTATCATGCATACCTTGCACAAAAAAGTTGTTAGTTTATATGCATTCAGAGGTCTTCCCAGAGCTACCTACGTATTCCACACAAAAAGTTCTGGAACCTCTCATATCTATTCAATGCAAAGTCTGGCAGATTGTCCCTTTTCTGTTCAATAGGAAGACACTGACCCTTCCTGTTATCTAAACAAACTATTAGGTTGTCCATTAAGGGACTTAACAAGCTGCAACTTGTATTGGAGACAAAATCTGTGGATAATAAAATCCACATCACAACCAATTTCTGTTTTGGATAAGTTATTTTAGGTTAATTTTCTGTGTTTTTAATTGTTGAATTTTCTATGTTCTGAATTTTCTATGTTGATACAACATATAATTTCTAAGCAAACATTACATGAGTTTGTAATGAGGATGTTGTGGGAACAGAAGGTAAATAATGTGCTGGTCTTTTCCTTAGCAGATGGTTGACCCTACTCTAGCAGAAATGGGAAAGAATCTGAATGAAGCCATGAAAATGCTAGAAGATAGTCAAAGGTACATACAGAGAACAACCACCACAAAACAATAGTATTTGTGCGCAAGTTCTAATTATAGATGATATTGTTATTAAGCAAGATGGAATTCATTTTTCTGGTATTTTAAGGTCATACTGTATTCTGAAGCTTACACCTACAAAAATTGCTTTTTCTCAAATAATAGGATTTTTAAAAATCTGCATATATATTGTTCTTGCTCTGTAATATTTAGGGCAAATCCAGAGCCTTTTTTCATGTATATTAAATAGTTACACAGTAACAGGAAAGTAACTTTTAATGTGTTAATATATGAGAGTTTAATGTTTTCTGTTAAAGAACTCAAGAAACAAAATGTAGTAGGTCTTTAACTCAGTTTTGGCTAAACTTCTTAGGGCACTGGAATAGTGTGGAGTCTCCTTCTCTGGAGGTATTCAAGACCCACTTGTGCCACCCTGCTGTGGGTAACTTGCTTTAGCAGGGGCTTGGTTGGATTGATGACCCACAGAGGTTCCTTCTGCTCCTTGCAGTTCTTTGACTGTTTCTTTTTTGGTCTCACCTGATTTATTAAACTGTTTTCAGTGAAATAGGTTGCAGACATATGAGTATGTATTTTTGTAAGTCAGGGTCAGCTACAAAACACAAAGTAAATACATAGTTTGTTCTTGTGTCTTTTAGAAAAGAGGAGGAAAATGAAAAGAAGTATGCACGGAAGGATATTCCTGGACCGCTGCAAGGCAGGTAGGCAACAAGTATTTTTTTGATAATGCTCTATAACCATTATAATAGGTATAATATATGTGACACCTCTGAAGGTTTACCAGTTCAGGTACTGCAACAACTTTTGTGACAGTTTCTGTAGTCATGAAGGTAGAAAGTTTACTTCTCCTAGGTAACTGAAGTCACCTGACTGAAGAACATTGGTGCATATAGCTATGATTCAGACTGAATGTTGATATACCTGTGCATAGAATAAAGATTCACTAGAACACACAGCTGGTAAATTAATAACTGAGACTAATAAGGTAGAAAACTTTACAGTAAAAAAAATTCAGTTTGGCACATCCATTGAAAAAACCATATGGAGCTTTTGTGCATATGACAGAAAAGATAATTGCATCTGAAAACTAAGACTTAAATTTTTTGTACTCTTCACTCTGGAAGAGAAAACATTTACTTTAGAAAACATTGCAAAATTTATTGATTTTTTTTTATGTATATAAACCAAATTTCTTTTGGATTGGAGCTACTGAATTTTTTTCTAGAAATGAAAAGCAGTTTGAAATATCTGTGTGTCTTAAATGACCTCCCTGCTAGACAGTGGTGCTAGCTTTGTTGTTGTTTTTAATGTTTGGTGTTTTTTGTTTTCCCTCACTGGTTTACCAGCGGCCAGGATATGGTGAGCATACTTCAGTTAGTTCAGAACCTAATGCATGGTGAAGAGGAAGAGGAGTCTTCACAGGCCTGTCGGTAAAGTCAATATGAATATTTGTATGAGAAAAATACCTGATTTATGCTATGTGATTATTACTGAACTTACACTTTAAAATGCTTAAGTGTATAAAATGGCATGCAAACATGTGACTTTTTAATGGCTACTTAATTACATTCTATAGTGAAGTAGTATAATATGCTGTTCTTGGCTTTCTTAAAATTACAAAGCCTTAAATGAGTTAGGGCTATTGTTAAACTGGATTGTAAAAGGCAATGGTTTCTGATTTGACAGCTCACTCAGCTTTTTCCTTTTTGAAAGTTGTATCAAGTCTGAAAGTCTTACATATCTTTGAATACCAGCAAGCTCTACAGGGAGAGATAGTAATTTTTTTTTAAGGTTTCCATTTTCCTAGATAATTGAAATTACACTAATTTATCTGTAGAATATTATTTGAAGTTAACAATTTAAAAACAGTTTAAAGAAGAAAAAACAAACAAAAAACAGAACTAATGAAAATTTGCCTCTATGTTCATAGGAACTATGTTCCTAATAAGTTTTCTGAGTTTTCTCAGCGTAAGGAGATAAAGGTATTTGTTTAATGAACATTCAAGTCACAGTGCAGATAAGGTGCTTAGTTCCAGCTGATTATAATAAACCTTCAATTAGCATAAGGATTTTATTTGAATGGGTAAAAAAGAAGATGAGGTGTTATAAGCAGCTAAGGTAAGGGAAGTGTTGTCTGTACTAGCATCTCACTGTGTTAATGCACAACAGTGGGAGGGTGACTGGTATACTGTATTTCTCTCTGATAAATATTCCATGTTAACAAATTCTACCACTACAGCAAAAATACAAACACATAGTTACTGTAATATTCATAACTAGTATTTAATTGGCAACTTCTCTGTTGTGGCTTGCAGACTTCAAAATGTTGGTGAGCAGGGTCACATGGCTCTACTGGGACATAGTTTGGCTGCCTATATATCAATACTGGACAAGGAAAGACTGAGGAAGCTCACAACAAGGATCCTTTCTGATACTACTCTTTGGCTCTGCAGGCTTTTCAGGTGAGTTTCTTTGAAAAAGTTATGTATGACTAGGCAGTAGTAATTCTTTAATACAAATTCTTTGCTTTTTCAGCAAAAGAAGCCTCTCATGATCTTGCAACTAATCTTTGAAAGGTCTTAAAACGCAGAATCACAGAAAGGCCAGGGTTGAAGGGACTTCAAGGATCATGAATCTCCAACCCCCCTGCCACATGCAGGGCCACCAACCTCCACATTTAATACCGGACCAGGCTGCCTAGGGCTCCATCCAATCTGGCCTTGAACACCTCCAGGGACAGGGCATCCGCAGCCTCTCTGGGCAGCTGTCTCAGCACCTCACCACTCTCTTCTGTAAAGAACTTCCCCTGTCATCCAACCAGAATCTTCCCTCCTTCAACTTAAAACCATTTCCCCTTGTCCTGCTGTTACCTACCCTTTTAAAGAGTTGATTCCGCTCCTGTTTGTAGGCTCCCTTTAGGCACTGAAAGGCTGCAATGAGGTCACACCGCAGCCTTCTTTTCTCAAGGCTGAACAAGCCCACCTCCCTCAGCCTGTCTTCATAGGGGAGGTGCTTCAGTCCCCTGATTATCTTCGTGGCTCTCCTCTGGACCCTCTCCAACAGCTCCCTGTCTTTCTTGTACTGGGGGCTCCAGACCTGGACACAGTATTCCAGATGGGTCCTCATGAGGAGGTAGAGAGGGACAGTCACCTCCCTGTCCCTGCTGGCCACCCCCTTCTGATGGAGCTCAGGATACCATTTGCAAGAGCACAGTGCTGGCTCGTGTCAAGCTTTTCATCCATCAAGACCCCCAGGTCCTTCTCCACAGGGCTGCTCTCAAGGACAACCCAACTCTTTTTTTCAGATGCTGAATGGCAGGGCCTAGTTAGTAATATGATTGCCGTAAAAATCCTGTTATGATGGCTGTATGGCAGTTAAGGACCAAAGTACAGTTGCAGAATAAGTGGTTGATCGTTGAGTTGAATTCTTGTTTCTTGAGGCATATGTGTGTGAGGTCTGAGGTACTTTACACCTTTGAAAGATATATTCAGTAAACTTCTCCTTTACTGTTCCTGGATCTAGTTCATTTTTCTTGGTGTGGCAGGTAATACTACTAAAACTTAGAATACAGTGTAATCTTTGATAAATGCTTGTTTCGTCATACGACATAAATATAATGTTCCACAAGAGAAGAATAATGGAAATCATCTGTGTGGGGTTGTTAGAGTAGGAAGGGACTCACTGATTAGAAATTCCTTTTTTCTTCCTGAAGCATAAATAAATAAATAAAAATCCCATTTTGTTACTCATGATACTGTAGCTTTCAAAAAGTCATGCCAGTACTACTGACAAGTGTGTTACTGTAGTGTGTTGTGTGTGTGAGATGAAATGGTTAAAAAAAAAAAGCATTTGTGAACAAATGGCACTCTTAAGTTTTACAATACTACATATTTACTTGTTGCACCAAAAAATGCTAAAGGAAGGATCTCATATGTAAGTTGTTCATTAAATTTACATACCTATTGTTTCCACTGTTGCTGATGACAGTTGAGGGATTGTCCTCAACAGTCTTTGCCTTATCTTCTCTTTATTTTGCTTGTTTCTTACTAATCTCAGCCTGTCTCAACAAAATTTCAATTTCCTTATCCTGCTTGTATGGTAGTTGTACCTTTTGTCTTTTGTGAGCTCTTTCACTGATCAGTATTACTCTAGCTACTAAACTGGCTATTGGTTTGTGGGTGGGTTGTTGGTTGTTTTTTTTTGGTCATACTTGGCTTTTCTTACAGGTATGAAAATGGGTCAGCTTATTATCATGAAGATGATCGTGAAGGTCTCCTAAAAATCTGTCGACTTGTTATTCACACATGCTATGAAGACTATACAGTAGAAGGATTTAATGTGCTATGTAATAAGCAGCCTGTTATATACATTAGTTCTGCAGCTAGAACAGGCTTGGGCCAAGCTCTCTGCAATCAGGTAAAGTAAATCAGGTGCGGCTCCAATAAAACTTAGCTATCTTCACGTTGTCTATTTGAAATCTAGATTTTAACTAATATATCCAGACTTCCTGCAAGAAACTGGTGCTTTTTACTGTCAACAGTCTTGTAAATTTGCTGGGACCAGTGAAAGTTTCCTCTAAATCTGTGTGTCTGCCTGGGATGTACATTGGAGCTTCTTCAAAATTGTTCCCAGTGCTACTCTGTTGAGTGAATGCATGTTTCCCCAGACAAGCTGAGCAGTCTCTGCAGTTCTCCTGTTTCTTCCACGCATTTGATAGCCATTGTCAGATTGGTATTTCATATGAGAAGATTACTCTCATCTGTGCATTGTCTTTCAATGAACATAATAGATTTTTGTACCTTTATTAAATTATTGTATGTTTCTGAGACTTACTGTCCCAGTTTGAAGAGTTAACGATGCAACACCCCTCTCTCCCCTTGAGAGAAAGGAAGGAAAGAAGAGGAAGAAACCTGATTGAGATAGGAGAAGCTGATTTAAAAAGGAATGAAGAGATAATGCAGAATGATTCAGAATAATAAATCAGATGAACCAAAAAATTAACTGACGGAGAGAGAAAATCAGGCTGAGTCTTTATCAACAGGCCCTCCATGGCTAGCCTCCCAAAAAAGATGAGAGAACTTTCCCCTAGTCTGAAATCGGAAGATCACGTCTCCCAGAGCTGAAACTCTTGTGAAGTATCTGAGGCTGCTAGAAAGCACAGCAGAAATGCACTCAACATTGTGCTTAAGCATCAGATAGCCTGCCATGTGATGTTATGATATGGAATACTGGTAAAACCAGGACACTTAACAATGATTTCTGTGCTTGTTAAAAGAGGGTATGAAGAGAGACATTTTGAACAGTGAAGTCTGGGTGTCAGAGTTCAATTTTGACTCTAGGAGAAGCATAACTTGAGCGATGGTAAAAACAGTAGCAATATTGAGGAGAGGAGAAAGGAGTTTCAGATGTGGCTATACTTTGATGTCAGTGGAATATCTGTAAGCTTGTAATACGAGAATACACTGTGTTAGCATTGCTTTAGTAATTCTGCTTTTCAAAATTATAAAACATAGGCAGAGGTCAACTTCAGTTATTAAAGATGTTGACTGCAGAGAAATAAAATTGGTACCAAAAAAGGAAGTAGACAAGAATAACTTGAAAATTAAGTGGTAAAGGTTATTGTCTTTTCAAGCAAAATGTTGCATGTAGTTATTGATTGAAATTGATGCAAATAATGCTGCTAAGAACTGGTATTTTGGGAACCTTTTGCTTCTGAATACGGACCAGAGACTGCTAATAACACTAGTGCCTCATCTCTTGGTGGTATGGTAATGTCCTTATCAGGTGATCACTGAACTTAAGTGATACTGTTTAAGCTTAGACTGTGATAAGCAGTGTATGTGGTTGTAAAACAATGGGAAGCACAACGGCAGCAGAGCAGCAAGGTCCTAGGCAAGCAGCAAGTGGGGATTTGCTCAAATGCAACGGCTGTGGGCAGAGAAATAAAGGAAAGAAGCTGCTTACATTCAGAAGGCCTCAGGTATGCAGGGGTCTCCAGCAAGATACCTTTGCTTCCAGTGACAACCCTTAGATGAAGTGTGGTCTTACATGCACCTGAGCTCCCCTGGATTGGCCCTGTCTTCCTACCAGGTGCTCAGTCACCACTTCAATCTGTGACTTAGCGTTTCCGCTACAGTACACAATTGGAACTTTGATTACAATTGAGTAATCAGACATTAATTCCATTTCTGTGAAGTAAAAGTATCTAATTAGAAATGCTATATGCATTTCAAGTACTAAACAGATGTTGACTGTATGGGGCTGTGTTTTCAATTCTCCGTATGCTTTCTTTCCTCTGCTAATAATTTAATCATAAATTTTAGTAAGATCCTTTTCCAGGGTGTAATACCCAGATTTGTATTATAAGGTTTATTATTTTTTGTGTCACTAAATATGTATATTTCTGCAAACTTTTGAAATGATTCTTCTGAAGCATGTCTGAATTGCTCAATTTCCATCATTTTTATTGCAGCTAGGATTACCCCTCTCTTGCATGTGCCATGTGCCTTGTAACACTATGTTTGGATCTCAGCATCAAATGGTGAGTTTGTCTTCCCTAAGAATTTTTTTCATTAATAAGCTTTTTCCTAACAACTTTATTGATGTTCACTCAATTTTTCAGCCTCTTACTCTACCATAAACAAAATTTTCTAAAATACCAGCAGCTTGTGTGTTGGCCTTGTAATATGCTGAGTATTTTTTTTTGTTACTTAGTAATACACATTTTAATCCAAAATTTCTAGAATACGCATAGTAGAAGGCATGCTTACAAAGTTCACTATGTATTTATGTTGTATTTTTCACAAAAGCTTTTTTGACCTTAATTTTTTTAACCTTTTGAGAAGAAATTGCAAGTCACAAATGAAGACATAGAGAACACCTTTCATAACTTTAGTATGTTGTCCCTTTTCACTCATAAAACACTTTTCAGTTCAGTAAAAACAAGTCTCTGTTGTTTGGTATACATACTTATATATCTTTTTCTTATTGGTAATAGGATGTTGCTTTGTTGGACAGATTGATTAAAGATGATGTTGAGTGTGGCAAACTGCCTTTGTTGCTTGTGGCTAATGCTGGTAAGTGCTGTGGAAAGACAATAACAAAAAAGCATACTATTTCATGAATATATATAAAATCCAAAATAAAGGTACATTGTCTTAAATAGTTTTGTAGCTGCAGGTCAAGAAATATCAGGAAGTATCTGAATGACAGTGCACTTATCTGTCCAGAGGAAGTTTTATTTACCTAATTCAAAATTGGATTGTACTGCTACAATTATGTCTACATCAGATGGTGCACTAATGCAACTAAAACTCATCTTAACGTGTGCAAATCTTGTTGAGAGTCAATTTCATATTACAAGTAATAATTTTTGATAGATGTGCCATCAACTTTACTTTTAAAATCTGCATTTTTCTCTTGTTAATTAAACAAAACTGCCCATAAAGAGGTGGCTTACTTGCTTTGGACTTAGAAACAAATATACATATCTAAGACATTAATCTTGGCTTCCATTCTTCCAGTTGAAGTCATACCTTGAAAATATTAAATTAAAAAAAAAACTTTTCGTATGGGTGCCTAGGTAATTTAGTTTTCGGAGTATTTCTAACACGCACTGGCAAACAAAGCTAGCATCTTTAATTTTATCCAGAATAGCAATTGTTCATATGTCACAATGATATGAATATTGTGTAGTTGACTGTTTTTAAATATCTTCCTTCCTATTCTTGTTTGTGACTTTTCTGGCAACAGTACAAGAGGTCGTCTTATGTAGAGTCCTAATTTGCATGCTTACCCTTTGTTGTTGCATTTTTTCCTTTCCAACAAAGGGACACCAGGTGCTGGGCACACAGATAAACTTGGACGGCTGAAGGAACTTTGTGAGCAGTATAAAATGTGGCTCCATGTAGAAGGGTATGAAACTTGAGATGTGTATTTATAAACTATATTCTTGTAAAAGTCCAGTCGATGGACAGCACGTAGCTTTATGGCTAACCAAAAAACTACCTTTACTTTTGCCATATTAAGAATTTAACGTGGTTGTAATTTTGTCATTGTATGAGATTGTTTTACGTATACAAGAATAATTAATTGGAGTGATTACTTCAGCATAGGTTATGGGTTACTTTTACTCAGAAGGCAATCTTATCTGCCCTTGCTTTGAAGAGCTTGAAATACAAACAAAAGAGAACTTTATTAGGTAATTAAGGGAAGACATTATACAGTGGTTATTGAGAATGAGGAAGGAGGTAGAAGTGTCATTACTTCAGTGAATGTTGTCAAGAAGGGTGTCACAAGTGCATTATGCAGCATAACTGGAAGAAAGTTTAAACCAAAAGGAAAAGAAATTGGAAGAACTCAGACAATGTTATTGAGCACTCCAGTGTTCTTATATTTTTTGAGCATGGAGTAGAGACTCAGTTTCTCTCAGTATTTCATTAAATAGCATCATATTTGTATGGCTCTGATTCTGAATTGCTGCTGAATTACAGATACAATTTTGGGGGAGATGATTTCCCTGAAGGTTGTCACATTTTTAGGATGAAACAGATCTTTGTTTTTGGGTTTAAAACCTTGGAATTCCAAATAGCAACACCTACTGCACAATTCATTAAAATTTGATTTATGTGTATGAACAAAAATGACCTCTCTTTTCACATTAACATGACGTATTTGAACTGAAGATTGAAACACTCTCTTAATACACACTTAATACGTGCTAATACTGCTTTATTTTTCTAGTGTGAATTTGGCAACTTTGGCTTTGGGTTATGTCTCCTCTTCTGTACTGGTATGTTCTACCATATCTAGAAACCTTATGACACTGTAGACTTTAAGGTCATGATCTAATAAAAATGCATACAGTTTATATTCTGCCTATTGTAATAAAATTTAGGCGGCCACAAAATGTGACAGCATGACTCTTACCCTGGGTTCCTGGCTGGGTCTGCCGGCTGTACCTGCAGTGACACTCTACAAACACGAGGATCCTTCTTTGGTACGTTCAGCTTTTCAGTCACCATTTTCAAGACGTTGAAACGTTAGTTGCAGTTGCCACTAATCTGGCAAAAACTGAGTAATTGAAAAAACGTTAATCACAGTTTTTTTTGTTTTCCTTTTTAGTCCTTAGCAGCTGGGCTGACATCAAGTCAGCCTGTAGAAAAACTTCGTGCCCTGCCACTGTGGCTCTCTTTGCAGTACTTAGGCCATGATGGAATTGTGGAGAGGATAAAGCATGCTTCACAACTAGTAAGCAGCAGCTTGTTAATACATTGATAATGGCCACTTGGCTTCTCTTTGTATGGCCTGGAGAATGTTCCTGAGTATCCTCATGATCTGATTTAACAATCTGAGCCTCTAAGCAGAAACAAAGTTCAATAAGCAGTACAAGTAATATCCAGATAGCTATAACAGAACACTGTTACACTCGGGAGTGTTTTAATAATAGATGTTAATACATATTTTTTATCATTGTGTTGTAGAGGAATCAGCTAGAAACATCATAGTTGTTGACAGCACAGCATATGTTAATATATATCATGTTATGAATAAGTAATGAAAGCAGAACAGCAGTGTTCAAGGGAAGGGTGTGCTGTTAGTTTGTGTATTTTGTTAGTTTTTATGTGTAAAATTCTTAATTCTTGTTCTTCCTAAAAACTGAGTAACCATCTGTCACTCTTCTATATTAAACATTCTGCCTGAAAACTGCTCAGAGAAAGACTTAATTTTCTTTCTCTATTTGGCATGATACCAATTCTTTCCAGTACTTGAAAAGAACATATAAACAGAACGGGGAACAAATGTGTACATGGGTTTATAGTGATAGGACAAGGGGAAATGGTTTTAAACTAAGATGAGAGGTTTTAGGTTAGATATTGGGAGGAAGTTTTTCACACAGAGGGTGGTGAGGCACTGGAACAGGTTGCCCAAGGAGGCTGTGGATGCCCCATCTCTGTAGGCATTCAAGGCCAGGCTGGATGTGGCTCTGGGCAGCCTGGGCTGCTGGTTGGTGACCCTGCACATAGCAGGGGGTTGAAATAAATGATCTTTGAGGTTCTTTTCAACCCAGGCCATCCCATGAATGCAAGTAACAGTAAATTTACAAAGCTTAACAAAAGAGAATCTCAACACATTTCTTCAAATACAATAGCAACTGCACTGTTTTCAAAGAAAGATCATTACTTAAGTAAAATATTTATAGTCCATTTTCTGACACATATTGTATTGCCTTGTTTATATACAAAAATTTGTAGCTTAAAAGTTTTTAAAGAAATTTAAGATTGAGAGAGGGACTAAACGGATGTGGGAAGTGGAAAGTTGCTGTAAAGGTTAGTGAAGAAACTATTGGCATGAAAGACCACAGTGACAAAAAATAATTAGTCATTAAGCTGTGTTGTTGGGTTTTTTTTTGTTTTTGTGGGATCTAAGAGTGATCTTAGCTTTTGTATTAGCCTGTTCATAGTTTAAAACCACACTGTAAGAATGTCTTTTTTGCTAACAAAAATAATTTAGAAAGCTATTATAAACAGATGCTGTTGTAGCAAAACAGTTAATTTTCTCACATCTACACACTGTGCTTTAGTTAGTTGACTGAGTTGTAGTATCCATAGAATTTTGTCAACAAACACACTAAGACAATGAGAAGCATTTTGTATTAGTTGTAACAGGAAAATGTTTTCTATCTCTAGTAAAACTGTTTAAATTTATAAAGAAGAACTGAATGGATCTCCCACATTTCATTGGCTTTTGTTTGCAAATAGAAATTATGCTGGTGACTTCTTAGTTTATCAGAATAATTTTCATGTTTTGTCTTTATTTTGTTTCCCTTCTGCTGTTCTCTTCTAGAGTCAAAGGTTGCTGGAAAACTTGAAAAACCTGGATTTCATTAAAACTTCGGTACAGTATGCATTTAATACTTTTGGTTGTGTATAGTTTAGTCTTTACCTGTTAAAAGATACAAATAACTTTTGACTCAAAAGACATTATCTAAAAATACTATTCCAATGTGGTAATTACTTTGAAGATGCTTGGAATCTTTTTTGGTTAAGTTCAAGTATTCAGTGAAATAATGTAGCTCATTTGTGTGTGACATCAAGATTGTACTTGTTCCTTCACTGTAAATGCTTGCATTCAGTGGAGCTGAAATCCAGAAATTGTCTCCAGACTTTAATTTTTGTTTAAAACACCTTTTGTATTTTCTTGGTAATACACTTATGAAACTGATAATAGGTTTATGAAATCATTTTTCTTAAAGCTCATAGATTCTGACTGCATCTTGTCCATGAGATAATGCTGTAAAACCTGGGAAATTACATGTAAAAGTTATCCTAGCTGACAGTCTTGTAACAGGATTCGTTTTGGAAATTACATCTAATGTACAAATTCCAAGTTCAGTTTCTGTGAGATGTTCTGTTTAACGCACTTTTTTTTTTTAGGATCATTCCAAGCAACAATAATCCTTCTATTGCAAAGGTGTTTTTTCTAGGAGTATTAGTGGCTTTGAGAGTTGAAGTTACTGTGGCACTTGCCCCTTCTGCCTGAATAAGCCTTGCATTTGTAGGACTGTGTCTTTAGTTGCTTACAGAGGTTGCCTAGTGCATCTCTCCTACCCAAAAATGAGAATCAGTTATCTTACTGTTATTCCTGATGGAACTTTCTTGATGTCCCACAATGATTCTGGTGTGATTTTAAAGAAAATTTTCTTTAAACATTAATATCTGAGAATACATAAGGCTAAATCAACATTCTTTACTAAAATACATCTGTTAGTGAATGTGCATGGTTCTCTTGCTTTATGATGATCAAAGTTTAGTTACGCATGTTGTAAATCGTGATTTATTTTCCATTGTCTACTGAAATGCTTACTTGCATTCCTGAAGAGTTAACTTCTATTTCTGAGATAGTATGAACAACGTTAGTGCAGTCAGAACAAAATTATCTGCTTTGCTCAGCAGTCTAAAAAATTCTTCACTAGTAAATATTTAAAAAGAATATTTGAAAATACATTTAGCATTTTATTTTTGTTAAGGTTGAAGATGAACTGAGTTCACCAGTGGTGGTTTTCAAGTTCTTCCAGAAGTATTTAAATAGAGGTACATGATTTGCTGCTGGATTTTTTTCTTGGAGGTGATGCTGTATTTTCATTTCTTTGGGTTTTTTTAATAGATAAATTATTAGGTAAGTTATTACTTGGTAGATTATATATAGTGCACTTCTTATCTAACTTATCCTTAAAAAGGTATACTTTTATCTAGTGATAAAACCACACAACTTTTTTTTTTTTAGGTTCTGTATTTTCATAGTGGGTTATTTCTACTATCTTGACTGAAATTTGGACATGATTTTGATCATGAAAGCAGATTAATAATCATCTCCCATAAACTGCAAGCTATGTTTGAAGATACTGATGAGGGAAGATATTCCACTGTTTTTTCTTGAGGCTTCCCTGTTTCTTTTAAATGTTGAGTGGCTAGTTGCAAGAACTGCATTTCTCTCTTTTACTGCTGTTTTCTGTTGCATAGTTTTAAAAATAGCAGAATACCATTAGGAACAGGTCTCTAAATACTGTCGTGGGTACAGAAGCCACACTAAATATAGCTCGGCAGAGAACATCCTTGGATGTGCCCTCCCAAAAGAGAATTTTTATGTCCTCTTGGCTACAGCAGAGGATGTTGTGCTGTTTGTATACACACAAGCGGAGGGTGAGAAGATACCAGGTTGGGTGAGGCAACTGACTACTAGAAAACTTTACAGTTTTGCTGTGAGTGTTGATTTTAATACTGTAGGTTTTTTTGTGATTCACGTGGGGAAAGGTTTTCGTTTTTCATCTACTTAGTGGCATTACTTACAAAGGAAACCTATTCATTTTGGACCAGTAAAATGACTTGCTTCTTACATTGATGCATTTTGTTTGAACAGCTTTACGTAGGCAGAAGTCACCCACCTGAAATATAAGGATGTAAAATGTTTGGCTGCCTTTTCCATATTTTGTGTGTATAAAACAAAAATAAATTGTTAAAAATAAATTTTAAAATGTTAAAACTAAACATTACTGTATGCTATGACAACTAACCTCTAATATTTTTTTTGTTTAATAATTCCTCATTAGTCTACTTCATGTTCAGTACATAGTTTAGATGTGTTATGTTACCTAGGAAATGTAATCATCTTTTGTCTAAATTTCAGGTTGTTTTTTTGTTTAATTAAGAAAATACAAATCCCCTTCTGTAATTCTTGTATTTTTGGATTCAGATCAAACACCACATGCTGCACAGACCTCAGCTATTCAGCACTGTGTAATAAGTAATGAAGGACACATTTATGACACTTTCAATCAGTGGGTAAGAATGATTTCCTTTTCCCTCTGGAAAAAGAATAAGTGAAAATTTAATTCTTCCAGGGGTTCATCAGTAATAATAAAGCTTTCAGTCGATAAGCTTAGTAATTATTCCTGATCTGATGTCCTCAGCAAAATCTGCTGGCCATTTTGGATTATAAAGAAAGATTTGCTCTGAAGCAGTTATTTTCATGCTTCTTTTTTTATTTTCCAAATGTAATTCTTACTAACGTTATTACTGCATCTTAAACATTTGGTAGTGTTTTGTTTCGCTTGGGCTTGGGTGAAAATGTGAAAACTTCAGAATTCTTTTCAGTTGTCAAAGTACTCCATTGACAGTGTTTGTTTAGTTTGAGTAGACAGGCTTTTTTTCCTAGCTTTTAGAATTATTTTGGGAAACTTGTGCTCACAGAGCTGAGCATGTAACTATTCTAGAACAGTTACATAATAATCATGGCATACTCAACAATTTTGCAGAAGTTTCAGACTTACAGCTTATGCTGAGGTTTTCATGACTTTAAGTATATGTCCAATCTCTTGTTACTGGCAAGCTGAAGTTTTTTGATGTTTTTTGTTTTTTACCGGAGGTGATTTTAACAAATACGGAAATCTGTTAAGCAAGTAGTTCCCCTGTACAAAGAGTCTAATTGGAGTCAGTGACTGTGAGGTCACATCTGTACATTCCTTTACCTGTGCCTTATCTCTTCAGCTAGGAGAGCAGTTGGCACAGCTGGTTCCTGCCAGTGGGATTGATGTGGTGGAATTGGAAGATGAAGGCACATGTGTGCGTTTCAGCCCATTAATGACTTCTGCAGGTAACATTCACACTACTCAGCCAGTTGTAAAAACTGGAATTTCCTATAAAATTGTACATCAGTCTCCTGGTATAAAATCATATATGTTCAAGAAACTTTACAGTATTGTCCTATTATGATAATTATTTATTTATTTTCAATAAATTATACTGGCTTTATCATTTCAGGTGTGTCTCTGTAGTGGGTGCATTAGAGATGGCTCAAATACTGTACGTGACCTCACTAAATGTGCAAAGACAGATTTTTATCAGTTATTTGTAAACTTGTTAGGAAAAGCAAGGGAGATTTGCACTGTTTCTGAGAGTTATACAAGAAATACAAAGGATAAATCATCCCAGCTTTTCCTTCTCTCAGCTGCTTATCATAAGGAAGAGATGCTTATTGTTTCTACACAGGTGATTCTGCACTGAAGTGGTGCTTGTGTTCAAAATACAACTAAGTAGACTAAATGTTTTCTAAACCTCTGGATTATTTTTGTAATTACTGATGTCAAAGAGAAACAAATCTGTGTTTTGGAAACTGCTGAGAATTTGCTTAAGGTAGCACCGAATACATAGTTTGTTTAGACTTAACAGCTGCATGGAGTAACTTAAAGAGAGCATTAGGATCAGGTGATGAACGGTAGCTGCTTCTAGCTTTTGTAGGGTGGTTTAGGCTATCAGAATGCATGATGTTGATGTGAGAGGATCCGTAGTGTACATGGGGAAACTAGATCTGTAGAACAAAATTGCTTGATGATGCTGTGATTTTTACAGTTTTAAAAGGAAACTACAGGAACTAATTTGTTATCCGTTTAGCTACGTTAAAAGGATTTTTTCTGATGGAGGCTACTGATGTAATGAAATAAGATACTGGCCTTATTAGTTTGTAATATAAGTAATTTTTCTTATTTTTGTGGAATGCTTAGATCAGATTGTTTTGATTTAACAGTGCATAGATAAATGAAAAAACTTCAGTACATACAGATCAAGGTATCTCAGTACTATCTGTAAATTATGATGAACTTAGAGTGGTTTATTTAGATTATTTGTTTAATTCAGACATCTATGCATGTCCATTCACTTTCATTGCATACTAATACATAGGCTCTTTAGTTTTAGGAACTGAAATACAAGATGTTGATCAGTTAGTAGACTGCTTAAAAATGAAGATACCAGTACTGACAAGTACACTGCAGCTGAGAGAGGAGTTTGAGCAAGAAGTGAGAAGAACAGTAGGCCTGTTGTATATTGAAGATCTCAGCTGGCCAGGATTAGGTATTGTAAGGTATATCTTTCAGTATTTTCTTCCTTTTGGGTGGATAGGCAAGCACATTATTGGAAAGGAATAAAGGATCTCTTTGGTAGTGATTTGGGTGTGTGTTGCTTGCGATTATCTGGCTTTGTCCCACTGAAGTGTTTAATTTAAAACAAAACATGCAAACAAGTTTTTTATATTGTTTAAGAAAAGGTGAATTGCTTTTTAAGCAAATTACAGCAGTATTTTTAATATGGGAGACAGCATATTGAATGTAGTGTGCAATGCTGCCTAATTATACTAAGCATAATATACATTCATATCCTTCACTTACATAGTGAATAAAGCCCTTTAAGTGTCTATTCCGGTCATCTGATACAGTCTACTGGGAAGGATTCTGTAAATTTGAAACACTGGAAATAATCAATATGTTACCTAGAAATCTGTTGTATTCAATTAGGTTTGCATTGGCCAGCCTCCCCCTTGCTCCCAACCCTAAATCTCATAATCTGTAAAGTTGTTTATAGCTTTTGGTTTGTAAAATATAGAATTTTGTAGAAACAAGCTAGATCTGTGAGTTTGTTTATGTACTCTAAAGTGAAATTACTATCTCCTGGCTTGATTTGAAGATACAACTATCACAGTGATGGGAAGAATGATGACAATCAAGAAAAAGAATTGGAAAAAATTAACACAGAACTTCTGAAAAAATTAAATGAACTGGAGTCGGATCTCACTTTTTCTTTGGGTAACTGCACTTTAAAAAAAAAAAAAAAAAAAGACTATTAGCTTCAGCGCAATCCTGGCTGCATTATGATCTTTCAGCAGGTCACACGTATATAGTTCATTAAAATGCAAAATTACACTGCTGTATATATTGTTAATTTATAATCAACATCTCTAACTGTTCCCCTCGCTCCCTATTTCAATTGATAAATGTTCAGCAAAGCTTGAACAAGTTGTACTGTTTTCACCTACATATGTGAAAACTAATGTATGAGCAACTAGACCTAAAAGGGTTTCTTGCCAGAAGGAATGAAAACTGCAGGAGCACCTCTCTGTAAACTGAAGCTTGTCAAGGAAATCTAGTGAAACGCAGTGTAACCTGTGCAGATTATTGCACTTAATTACTGAAGTGGGCATGTATTATGTGAATATATAAGGCTTTCTAGATTTGTAAGCATGGGCATAGATAGAATGTATTGCGAACACTTTTCAATATATTACTAACACTTGATTCTCCCAATGCTCACAGGCCCAGAATTTGGAGGACAGAAGAACTGCATTTATATTGGCATGGTAACTGAGGATCTGGATGTGTCGGAGTTAGTTGAAACTATTGCAGCAACAGGCAGAGAAATTGAAGAAAATTCAAGAGTATGTGTTCATAAAATCAAAGAGCATTTCAGCATCTTTTGTTTTTCTGTACTACCCTCAGGGCAGTTTGTGGTGTTTGTTTTGGTTTGTGGTGGTGGTTGTTGTTTTTGTTTTGTTGTGGGTTGTTTGGTTGTGTTTTTTTTTGTTTTTTTTTTTTCAAACCTGTTGTTCAATCCCTTTCTGCAAACAATATATCCCCGTGGTACATGGGGTTATTTAGTTTACTCTGATGACCATCTTTTCCGTTTTTCATTTTGTTTTTATTAACATGCAGTCACAAACTGTTGGCATTTTGGAGGAAGCACCTGTCACCAAGGACTCTGATGTTAAAGCTCATATTAAATTATGCAAATTAGCATTTGTCTTGCACATAACAAAACCATGTCTTTGTTTTTTCATCTTTTGTTTCCCCAGTAAGCTGTTAGGCCTCTGCAGTGTAAAATGTGACTTTTGCCTTCTGGGTGTGTATATATGTAGTTTTAAAAATCCTATGGTCAGTCTGTATGTCTTCTAATTTACAGTAGTAATGAAAGAGTTCTCATAAAATGCAGGTTTAAATTAGAAAAAAAATCTGACTATTCAGTTTACATCCTCAAAGCCTGAATTAAAAATATAATTTCAACTACACATCATATACATAAGGATGATGTAATTTCTGTTTTCATTAGTTGTTGGAGAACATGACTGAAGTTGTTAGAAAAGGAATACAGGAAGCGCAACTTCAGCTTCAGAAAGCAAATGAAGAACGACTTCTTGAAGAGGTAAGGCTATGAAGTTATGTAACGGCTTGTCATGATGTGGCTACCTAGCTCATCAACCAGTCTTTAATTGTGGACTTCGCAGGGGCTGCTACGACAAATACCTGTAGTAGGTTCTGTGCTGAACTGGTTTTCTCCATTCCAAGCCTCACCAAAAGGAAGAACATTTAATTTAACAGCAGGTAGGACTCCCTGCATCTGCAGCCATGTTATGCTGTATTCTAAATGTTTCCAATTTTATACTGAAATTGCAACGCTTTCTTGTGCTGATTGAGTGACATAATGCACCCTTGGGATGTAAAGGAATATGCTCTTCGCTACTTCTGTAACACTTCGATGAGATAATCTCATCCCTTGTATAGTTTACACCTTGTTCTTGCATATTGTATCATGCTAAAAAAAGCTTTATTATATATTGGCAATAGAGGAACAACTGCTGGCCAGACATGCTGTGGAAGTACCTATTCTTGGAACAAATGCTATGTGTATAAATAGATAAGCTAGTGGGGAAGACTTTCTGCTGCATTTGGGATCTTATTTTCAATGCACTGTTTTCAAAGTCCTTAGTGAAAAGAACAGTAAGACTTCCTTGGGAATGCTTATACCATTTATAACTAGACATGTTTTCAAAGTGCAGTGATTTGATGGCTTGCAGCTGGGGATGTCAAGCCTTGAAGAAAAGGGAAAACTGAATACTGGGTGTCTACCACTGTTGTGAAGTGAGTGTGAGAGGAACTTTATTCATCTTCTTAAGACTCAGCAACTTTGTCCCCAGTTACTCAGAAACCAGCTACAGTTGAGTGGCAGTTTCAGATTAACTGCAGACGTGCTGTTTCAGAAACCTGCATTAAAAACAAGATTGTTACGTTTTTTATATATATATAAATACTGATGAAAAGAGAATTTGTCTATATTCAACTTGCAACTTGCTACTTCCTTTTGACTTGCAGGCTCACTAGAATCCACAGAATCTACGTATGTGTCAAAAGCCCAAGGTACAGGCACTACTCCACCACCAACTCCAACTTCCAGCCTCACAAAGCAAAGACATTCTGGTAAGTTTCTACTTTGTGATTTTATTCTAAAACTTGCTGAAACACCCTGGCCTCAGCACACATCTGACTTGCGTGACACTAGAGAACCTGCATGAATTTCCCTTCTGTCATAATACCTGGAATTAGATCTTAAGTCCTCCCTAAATAATAGGTACAGAATACTACCACAGTCAGTTTTCTAAGAGATTCTCCTAGGAATGTAAGATTTTTTTTTTATCCTCCCCAAGGTGTGTGTGAAGTCTGGGGTCTTTCTCTGGAATAGTTGGTGGCAGCCTTGCCTGTCTTAGGAGGTTGGAACTAGGTGATCTTTAAGATCCCTTTCAACCCAAGTCATTCTATGAATAGTGAGAGTGAGTTTAAAAAAAACAAAAAGTAGGTTTAGTAGTTGTGTTTGAAATTAAAGCATAAGTAATATATTATTGTGTATTTGAGCACCTGTCTTTTACTACCTAATACTGTGTTGACAAAGCCATTCTAGAGTGAAGAGCTATTAAATACATGGCGTTTTCTGTTTAGATATATTAGCAATTAATGTAGATTTGACTTACAGGGAAGCCATAGTTCTGCACCCCTTTTTAACTTCCGGCTGGCTTCTAGCCTGTGATTTTCAGTGAAACTCTACCTTAGAATGACTTCGGAATGGGCTTCTCAGCTGAATTTTAACAGTTTCTGTGTACACAGGATAAAATAACTGGCGCTTGTTGCCTTGCATACATATGTGTAAGTGGAAGCGAGTATTTATAAGGTTAGGGTACAGGTTAGCACCTGAATAAAATCTATTTCTTTGTAGTTGTAAAATTCAAATGCTTTCTTTGAAACTTACCTTCTGTATACTACATTTTACATTTGATGCCATCACTGGTACTGTACTCTTCAAACACTTTACAGGTCAGAAAATTTTTAAAAGGGGTTTCAGAAATTCTGATGCATTTAGTGAGACCAGTTCAGTCAGCCACTGTGATGATCTGGAAAAGATGGCTCAGAGACCCCCAACTCTGTCACCTGGCCAGGAGCAAAGACCACTGGAGACATTAAAAAGAGAGCTGCCCAAGGAGGTGCCACAGGCAACAAATAAAGATACTGAAGACATTCAAAGCAGCGAATCACCAAATGACTGCACAAATGTAGAAGAACAAGGAAATCAAAGATAAAAACTAGACTCTGGCTTTAAGACTGTCTGGATAAAACACATGCCTCATAGGACAGGATATTTTAATGATGCATTTAGAATGTGAACAGTGCCACATACTAGTACAGTAACATAAGTACTGTAACTTACTAACTGGGATTTTGTACACATACAAATTTTCCCCAAACAGGAAAGATTTGTCTTTCTGTACACTTAGTACAGTTGCTTTAATCCTGTACATGTTGGTGTCAACAAAGTTGCAGTGAGATTTATTAACTGCCTGACTGCTTGTAAACATTTGTCAAGAAAATAGGCAGTTACAGTTCCAATAAGACTTCAGGCTTGACAGTAGATACTAATTCAGCAGCCATGTGTAAGATTAAGAATACAGTTGCACCCAAGTATTGTAAATTGATCTTATGTGTATATTTTTAAGAAACTGCTGATTTTTTTAAAACATTTTTATATTGAATATTCAGTTTAGCCTCTTCAGTAAAACAGCTTAGTCATGCTAGTTCTACTTCTGCTTTTTTTTCTTTCAGCATTTTTACAAATAACATTGCCAAGCAGCTGTGGTGCAGTCAGCGTTAGGGATGAATGCCTGTGTGTGTATATACAAGTCACTGAACTGTATTTTGTCATCAAAATACATTTTTTTTTCCTATTCAGGTGAGGCCCTGAGTATAGGACTAAGTAAGTTACTGAGTTTTAAGCAGTTCAGAAAGAAATAGTGCCTCTGCATGCCTAAACGACTTCTTGATTCTACCACTAAAAAAGAATCACCAATACATTTTTTTCCTTTGCATGACACTGGTAACACATGTAGCATCATTAACTGGTCTTTTCTTGTTATGTATTTTTAAAGGTAGTTAGAGTAAAGCTTGGGGAAAAAAAAAGACCCACTATATTTGTGCTGATTTCAACACTGACTTTTGAATAACTTTCCTAGGGCAGGAGTTGTACAGATTCAGTGAAAATATACAGTTTATTTACACTACAGTGCAAGTTCATAGCATCCAGGACTACTTAAAGCACAAGTTAAGCTTTGGATATGTCAAAAGCTACAATGTGCAGATCTTCCCCCCTGCCCTCACATGATTTAGTGTAGTTGCTTTTCTGCAAGTTTCCAAAGCCTCTTGTGGAAGCAACATCTTTTGGAAAGCTTGCTCTGCAACATGGTTTTTGGAGAAAATCTTTCAATCTACAGAGCTAGACACAGAATAGTTTGCTTTGTTCTTTTTTTCCAAAGGGTGTCAATTTAATGGCTATAATGGTGGCAGGATTAACTTTGATCTGAAAAATGAAGTGTTTTTTTTTTTTTTTAATAGTAATGTCACCTCATTTGACTTGCAGCATTTAGATCTTGTGGGTGAATTTTGCTCTTGGGGTAACTTATGTAAATCAGAGTGCAATTTTTCTGAAGTGCATAAACAGTTAAGTTGACTAGTCTTCCTCAGTGATTTCTTTGGTGCAATGAATAAGTTAATAAGAGTAATTCGTGGGGATTAAAGTTATCACCACAATGATTATTTTCTAATGTTTTTATATTTGGAATTGTTAAACCAGTAGTTTTGGTGGAATGAGCTTCATTCTTCAGCTCCTATCTGACTGTTTCAATAAAGAATCTTCAAATGATTATTCTAAAGATATATTTTTGAATGAAGTTCCTGTAGAAGTTCCAGTAGACTTTAAGCATAAGCAACTTTCTTTCACTTTGCATAGAAAAAGAGTTTCTCAAGTCCATGTTCATATGGTGACTTCTAGCCTCTGGGTTGCAACACTGCCATTTGTCTGTATTATAGCAGTCTGATCAGCACAGATAAACCACTGAAACAAAAAACAATTACTTCAAAGTAATCGAGGTTCCTACTTAAGTAATGCAGAAGAAACGTTACTTCTGTTGAAATATTTTATTTTGAAAAGCATAGGAACACTACTATCCATGACCAGCAGCATGCTTTTTACAACTTGCTGTTCTTCCGGCACTGCTATGCTTCCCTAGAGCAGCTGATGTTGGCTTCCAAGTTAGGCCTTGTCAGAACAAACCAGTTCCCACAACCCTTCTTCATTTTTTTTGTATATGCGAGGTTTTCTATCAGGAAACAGGGAATGAGATGGAAATGGATGTTCTTTTAAAAATGTTAATGTAGAACGAATGTGGGAAACAAAGTGGGGTGGCTCAGCCAAAGGCGATGTGGAAAGATTCTGAAAAACAAGATGACAGCAAGAGCTGCTTGAAATTCAGAACACAAAAGCTCTCAATTACTCTCACTTCTAATACAATTATTTTTTCCCCTTCCCTGCTGTTGGCAGAGGAGAGCTTTGACAGGCCATACCCATTCTGTTCTCAGCTAAAGAGTACCTGTAGAATCTGTTGATCATCTTGTTCTAACCAGAAATCCACATGTGGGAAAGGCCTCCAGAAATAAGGTCCAATGTGTAGTTGTTCAGTCTTTGCATCATAAATGTTTGTCAGCTGCAGTAACATAGAACTGTTTATAGGGAGCCTTAGAAGTTAGACAGCACTTAAGCAAATGAAAGAGAGAAATGATTTAAGCTGAAAAGCATTTGTACTGCTGTAATGCTATAATGTAATGGAAAGTACAGCAATAATAGTGGAGCGGCACAATCCTAGGCTTCAGCAAATGAGAACAAGAACAAATGCTGCAGCAGTGGATGCAGAAACAAAGGAAAACTGCTTACCTTTGGAAGGCCTTAGGTACACAGGAATCTCCAGAGAGATCCCCTGGCTTCCACTACCAGCCTTTAAATGAGGGCTGGGAAGGGGTGGATCCTGGCTCAACCCTTCCATCACTCAGTGCATTGCATTCCATTGCATGCACCTGAGTTCCCCTGGGCTGGCCCTGCCTTCCCACCAGGTGCTCCATCACTGCTTCAAGCCATGACTCAGCATTTCCACTACAGCTACTACCAATCTGTTTGGTTTTTTTTCTCCTATATTATGAAAACTCACTGCCGCTAAGTGGTCTTCTAGCAACAATATCTGATTTGAAATTTCATTGCCCACTTATTTATACTCACTCTTGCTCCTGTTAAAACATGGGCTGAACGCAAATCCTCATCTGGCCCTTTTTCTGGAAAAGTTGCAGGGAAAATCTCTGCTGTTTTTACATTCACAGCTGGTGAGAAATTAGGTTTAAACTTAGAAACAATTTTAATTCTTACCAAACATTGCTTAAAACAGCCACCTCCACAACACTACTATTGTAACAGGAATTTTAGAAGCTGCCAAATACTATTCCTATTTCTCATTGCCCCAGGCCCCATTTTCTTAGAACTTCTGTTTTCTGCCACACCTCCAACAGCAGCACTCTACAACAGGTATTATGTAAACATTAAAGGCAGTGCATTTACTACTAGAATCTAAAAAAATATCCAGTTACAAAAAAAAAAAAACAATTCTATTTTAACTCACCTATTCCATAAATGATTGGAAAATGAATATCCTTCTCTTCTCTGTCATTTAGTTCTGTAAGAAAAAAAGTCAAATGTGTAGGGCATCAGATTTTTTTCTGTACAGAATTCATTCAGTTGTGCATTACCAGAGAAGAATTGAGCTAACGTTGCTTAAGAAGACTGGTGGAAAAACTAACAGACAAAATCAACACAGGATGAAGCCTAAAATGAATATGGAAAAGGCGATAAGGTCAACATTAACATGTTGGCACTTGGAGTAGAGCTCTCATATCACTATATTCAGCTCCAGCCATTCCATTTTCTGTGCAAGCCAGAATCGGCTTAAAAGTCCCAGGAAAAAAAAAGGCAAAACTGCTGTGATGTCAATTTTCAAAAATGCAAGTCACCAGTAACATTTAAATACAAAGGTTATATATGACTTGAATACAATACAAAGAAGAGGAAATAATTATTTATGTGACATCACACGTTACAAATTAACTGGAGGAGTCTATGAACAGTCTAACAACATCAAAGGTCATTAAGTTCCTTTCTCAATTGCCTCTCTAAATACTCAAAACTGTACCGAGGCAGGAAATGGCCTGGTAACATTCACAGGTCCTCCCCAATCTCAACTGAGAGAATCTTTGCTGAGCAGGCTGTTTGACATTAATACACTGTAAATAATTAAATTTAAACATACAAGCCAAGTGGGAGGACGTGTACCATTTATCATTACAGGACAGATTTAAAAGGCTATGAATGGAAATATCTGTACTTTGATTTCAGTAGCTAAAAGTTCTTCAAAAATAAAATAAAAAAACACAAGAGGACATTTTCTTACCTGTTACACAGAAAGTCACTAAATGAACATCATCTGGTTGGAGATCAAATGCTCCTACAGCAACAACAATAGCAGCAATATGTAAGACTGACTGGTGGCAAAGCAGGTGCTGTATATAGACGGGGGGGGGGGAGGATTATCAGTGTTGCACGCTGCAGAATAGATGGGTAGAAAGTACCTAATACACTATTCATAGATAATGCAACGGAGCAAAGAGTATTTTTCAGGTTTGCTTCAAACCAGCTTTTAGAAAAATTAAAGCCAAGGCTCCTAAACATACCAGTAATTTACAGAGAGTAGCCATTTAAGATGTCAAAAACATGTTAAGAAGTTGTGCCACTTGCTCCTTTTACTGACATTGGTTTAAAGTAGCTCTGGCATCACATCAACTCTGCTTTAGTTAATTGCACATATTTAAGTACTTTCTTAAAATATTATATATATATATATATAGTGAGCAAACCCAGTCTTTCAGTATATATACTTCAGTTCTCCTTTTCCCCATCCCACACTTCAGGAAAAAAAAAGTTCACCTTTTTTCCTGAAGTTCTAATAGAAATAAAATGTTTTAAATTGTAACTGGATACATGAAAACCATGAAGCTGAAAAAACACATTAACCAAAAAATTTTGTGCTGAGCTCTCATGCAATATGTACCATACATAACAGGAATCACATCATAACATGTGAGAGGGCAAGAGGGGCACATCCCACATGACATTTGCCAGACCAAATTCCTCATCCCATAGCCGCCTCCCTCAATACACGCCCCTGTTTCTTCCCAGCTCCAGTGAGGTCAATGCCTCTCTACATTTGGGAAGTGCTTAGCATAAGCCAGGGCACTTGAAATATCTAAGATGGTACTTTATGTTTCCCAATTTGCTTGTAAAGTACCATAACCACTTCTCTATACAGATTTCATGTACAGAAATAACATCTTTCATCAGGCAATTGCAAAAAAAATGAGATTTACCTCATCACATTAAGTTGAAAAAGGAGTAGTAACTGATCAAGACACCCCCCTGTACTGATTTGGACAGGTGACAACACCTGGGCAAGATCACACATCAGCTTGTCATCAGCAGAGCTAGGAATTAGGTCCAGCTGAACTGCACTCCCATTCTACCCCCTGCAATGCGTGTCAGGAACAAATGAGAAGTTCCTGCTCCACACCTGGCCACAGGCAAGCATCAGAAGTCCAACCCCTCCTCTTCAGCAAGTTTGTAAGTAGAGAAAACACCCTCCAAAATTAATCCCCACTTGTTCCTATTAAATGATGGTGCTCAGATTAGAAGCAGATTTTACCCAAATCCAGTCAGAACTATTTTTTTCTACACGAGAGTGGAAAAAATGTGAACTTACTAAGAAGCTGATTAGTAAGTTTTTGTGATAACTGCCTATCATCATTGAAACCTCCAACTAGGTGCACTTCCAGCCTAACAGAGATGGAATAACAGGAAACAGCAGTTAAGATGACATCCCAAAGTGAATACCTTTACAAAATAATCTCCAGCCCAAACTACAATGCAATCATTAGAGGAGTCTCGCTTGTTAATGGTTGTATGTGTAGCAAACTGTGGTTGGTAATTTTATTTTGAACACTTAGGGATCATTCAAGAAATAGTACAATATTAAAAAAAAAAAATTAAAAACACCTCAGCAAACATTACACACATGCATTTCTATCGAACCCCAAGGTATCTGTGATGGTCAGCATCTCAGTTTTGGACATAATTCAGTAACTACCTCTCAGTTCCCACAAAACAGTGAGCTGAATGTGAAGGAGTTTACTCCCATGGTCTCCAGAACTACTGTAGGCCATACAGCAGTGTTCTTCTCCGAGAAGCGTCTACATAAAGACAGGTGTTGTTTGTGAGCCTTTTGACCAAACAAAAAACAACAACAAAAACAACTACTGACAATACTGGTTTTGGGTGCAAGATCTCAGAAACAATAAAAAAGTGAGAGGAAGCATCATCAATCACCTAGCAAGGCCAATATTCATTTTTCAAAACTGGGCAAGGTAGATCATGAGTTCTAGAGACCACGTCTTCCAAGTTCATGGAGTTTTTGTTCTTATCAAACTACAGAGGCAAAAAAATCTCTACATTAAGGAAAAACCTTGCTAGCCAAAATCTGTTTCAGACTTTTTTTTTTTTCGCCCCCCAGCATGGGTCCTTGAAAAATCCCAGACAGATTCTCAGATCTAAAAGGAATTCACAAGACCATCATTTCTCATGAAAAAAACAGAACAACTAAAAACAGTTATTTGGAAAGTTTAGCACATCTGAAATAAAAGTTACTGGGAAACAGTAAACACCAAACCACTCAATGGCATTTTTACAGAGCCGCTATTCAGAACAGAACCACGCTTTAGATCACTGATAGAAAATACCCACAAAAACATTATCAATAAAATAGTTATCATTTTCCATACGGCTCCTTACAGAAATATTTCTTGCACGGTTACCTTGTCTGAACCCCATAAAATCAGATAACAGTTCCACAACTTACAAACTGCAGTTACTTTTGTGAAAAACAGTATGTAACAATTAACAAAGCAAAGCTGACCTTCCATACCCTGTGGTGTTAGAGAAAGATTTTACTGAACTCATGATGAGCGACACCTCCGCTTCTGTGTCTGATCCATCACAGTGTGTCAAGCAGGTGGCTCCGCTGCCTAAGGAAGATGTGAAAAGACAGTGACACTGGTGGACACTGTTCACTACCATAATTCAGATCAACAACAGTGTGCACTACTACAGTAGTGCAAGAACAACACCCCACCTACTCACTTCTGTTAGTTCAGTAGCCTCTGGCGGAAGAGATGTGTTGACTGCACGAGACAATAACATCTGTGTGTGCCCCATTATAAAAATCAGCTAAACAATGACTGGTGCAAACACCTTCCTACTAAGGACCACCTTGCTGTCAGAAATACAGGAAGCCTTTTCCATCAATTCTACATGTGTTGTTATCGCCAAACCCTGCTGACCCAGCTGGCTGAACTCTCTGGCATTCACCCAGCCTGAGACGCTGCAAAGGTAGCCACTAAAGCAGATCAAGTTTACGATCTGTTCATTTAGCAAAGTGAACATGGAACTGGTATACTGAACAGACAAACTCTCTGAATTTACCACTCAGTTAAAGCACCTTGTAACTTTTTGAGATGTCAGTTTATATAAATGAAATTGCAGTTTATTTCATTAATGCAGCATAAACCAGTGATGATCCCAACTGTACTACTTCAGAGGTACAGGCTTTGTGAAGAACACCCATTAAGATACCTGTGTGTCGGAGCACAATTAGGTGACAGGTAGTTGCATCATCTGACCCAAGAATAGACACAGAACCTATTTTAAAGGAGAGAGATTGTGTATGAACTTTGCTGTTGTAATAATTACTCTAGCAGAAGAACTGCTTACATTCTTACATACCATCATTAGGGGTGGTCACTGCAAATTCTCTCTGCTGGACATACAGAAGCCCTTTGGGTTCCACAATTTGGGTAGGCTGACTTCTTAGAAGTTTTGCCTTTTCCTAAAGATAAATGATAATAAAGACTACAGAGGCTGAATTCTCAGGTGTATTTGTCACTTGATACAAACATCACAATCCAAAAAGCAAATGCTCCCAGGTTAGCGGCAAACATGGCATATTTTGTATTTTGGAGGATTCCAAATTTCTAGTTTTTCATCTTCCTGCCACAGATCAGTTAGCTGTTAAATCGCATCATTTCACACACACAGAATACTCTTTCCCTGCTTTATGGAAAGTAAATGGAGGAACAACAGGAAAGGACCAAGCTGACATCACACACTGCCAGAGCAGATCTTGGAATTTTACACAGCACAAAATCATACAGTTGTTAAGGTTGGAAGAGGCCTCTAAGATCATCCAGTCCAGCGGTCCACCTACCACTACCACTGGCCACTAAACCATGTCCCTACATACGTCTCAATATGTATATGTCCCATCTACATATTTCTTGAACACCACCTGGGACAGTGACTCCCCAGTCTCCCTGAGCAGCCTGTTCCCCTGCCCAACCACCCTTTCTAGGAATTCTGTCCTAACATCCAAAGTGAACCTTCCCGGTGCAACATGAGGCCATTCCCTCTCATCCTATCACTACCTGCCAGATTTCCTTCTTTGAAACGTGAAAGTTTCAGCCTCTTGTGGCCACGATCCATTATACTTATTAAGTACTAACAAAATGTAGCTATTAATCATCATGCCTAATTGATGGAAAACCGACCCCCTGGGTTCTGACTGCACTGCTGGCTGGTACCGTGTGCATTTCTATACCAGGGCTGAACTACTTTACTCAGTTTTTATCTGCACTGATTATTTTTTTTTTATTTTTTCCCCCTCTACAAGAACTCAGTTTCCACAAATCAGCACTTTCTTGTGAAAAACAGCTCTCCAACCAGCTCTGTTCGGCAGTTCCTAACCCACGAGCTGCCGTTCTGATTAAAACGCCTACATTCTTAGAACGAAGTTATCACCTCTCCGATGCCGCGTTCCCGACGTCCATCCCCAGCCGCCGTTCACCCCAGGCTCCCTCGACCCGAGGGCACCGACCGCCACCGCCGCCCCGCGCCAGGCTCCCGCCGCGGGGCCGCTACCGCCGCCCGCCTCCACGACGCGGACACGCTTCCTTTCAGCCACCTCGCGCCTCTTTCACGGGGCCGGGGCCGCGCGGAGCCGCCCACACCAGCTACCTCCGCGGGCGCGGCCCGCCCCGAGCGCCGCAGCGCTCACGTCCGGCCGAGCGACACGGCGCCGCCGGGCCCGCCCGCCCCAAGGCGGCCCTCAGCGAGGCCGCCTCGGGGCGAGAGCGGACAGGCCCCGCGGCGACGGCACGGCCGCCTGCTCACCTCGAGGTGCGGGTGGGCGCGGATCACGCTTCCCGTGAGCCGAGTCAGATCAATCCGCTCCCCGTTAATCAGCAGCGGCATCGCGGAGAACGCCCAGGGCGGGAGGCGGCCGCTCCGCGCTTCCTCCTCAGGGCCGCGCTGGGCCAAGTCGGGCGCCGCCGCGCGGAGCGCTGGGAAATGGCGGCAGAAGCCGCTAAGGGCGGGGCGGCGGCGGCGGCAAGCGGCGATCTGCGCTCGTTCCCGACGGCAGCGGATCGCTCGCGGTGCTTCTACAGCCCTTAACGCTCCGTAACCCCCTCCTCCTTCCCTTCCGTAGTTATTCAGGAACTGTAGAAAACCGTTTTGGAAATGTCTACCATCAGCTCTCCAATTTACAAATAAACCATCCCCCAGCTCTGTGAAGCCTTGGCCCAGAACAATGCCAAGTGGGAGAGGACAGCTCGAGCTAAGGGGACTCTCAACAGAGTGAGGAAAATAAACCACACGCTCTACTTTTCTAATCTCATTTTCACAAAATAAAGTTACAACAGATACTTTCTTCAAAAGATGCTTCATATTTCACAGGGAACCTCACCAGGTGAAGCGAATCTCCTCCTCTGAAGCAGCACTGCTCTCAGATAGAGCAGCACTTACAGAACAGTCCATGTGGCAAAACGCCAGGACCTTCTAGCACTGCTGATTGCAGCCATACTAAGGCTAACAACATAGAAGAGTCATGGAACCACTAAGGAGCTCCTGCCTGATTTTTTTTTTTAAACAAGTCTCTTTAGCATACTAAAATTGACTCTGCCCCTCAGAACAGACAGTTCAATGCCTGCACATTTTTAATGTTACACTTCGTGTCAAATATCCTTTCTCCTTCCTCTCTCTCCCCCACCCAGTTTTAATGAGACATGGAAGCTCCCGCATCACGTACCTGATACTACACCTTGTTAAGTTTTATAGAGCCTCATTTTGTAAGTGACTGATTGTGTTGCTGAAGACATAAAACTGAAAGAGCAGAAAAAGGCAGCTTCCAGAAAGCATTTTCCTTGCCATGGTTGTGAGAAGGGTACTTCTGTGTCAGGAGAGAGACAATTATTTCAGATGGAAATTACTGTTTAGTGCACAGGAACAACAGTAAAGAGAATTAAAATTAAAAACAAAAGCTAAGTTTAAATTTATACAGTGATTAACAGATCCCACTAACAAATTTTGCAGCATCATCCCTGAAACTACTTTTCAGTCTGTCAGAACAAACATCCCAGCTCTGGATAAGCTATACTACAGAGAGATCCTCAGTTAAACACAAAGCATAGAATTGGCACTCTTTGCATCAGTCTTTATTGGTTCTGAATAAACGCACTGTCTTGAAAGCCTACAAGCTCAGACTAAAAAAGGGCAGATGAACTGAGTCCCACATGCATTAAATTTTCAACTATATGTTACACAAATAACATATTTTCCATTGTTTAGAATCAAGAAAGAGAATGTAATGGTGAAAAAAAAAAAACCAGAAATCTACAGAGAAACTCTTCACTGACAAACAAACAATACAATAACAGCAGAGACATCAATTCCTTTTTACAAGGGATGTGGGTTTGTTCGTTTATATTTTCAGCACTTACATATGAGCTTCAAATCCTGAAAATAAATACCTTCTCAGAGTGCTTCTCAAACACCTCAAATAAAACTATCTACAAATCATGCTTTCATCTACTCATTTTCAACACTTCCAACAATCACCACTTCACATATCAGAACTTTCATAGCTGGAAAAGCTGTGTGTCACCCACACGTTTAAGCAGCAATAACATTTACCATCTGAATACACTCACCACTACCAAGGGCCTTTATTAAGCACTGTTCTCCAAATAGGACAAGCTCAGATATGTGTAAGCAGAATCACTGTCAGAGGGGCTCCCCTATGATGAGATCACAACATTATTTGAAACCAACTAAAAAAGGTCAGCAGAGAACAGTTTAAATACTGATAATTGATTTCTGTGTGATCAGAAATCCGTAATAAGAAAGATCAGAATTCCACCCAATATATAAAACCTCATAGAGAAACGTTAGTAAACAAAAGTCTGTAAAGGTCAAGGAAAACTATTAAAAAAAAACCTCATAAGTCATTAAAAACATTTCAATGTGAAATTTGTAAAATATTACTCTATTTATTCTCTACATTTTTCTAGCAGCATATGAATTTATCTCAATATATCCATAGAAAACTGATGATGAAGCATTTGCCAGTTCATAAAGTTGAGCTAAAGTCTCTTTGTGAGCAAAAAATAGCACGCGATTTTTTCTTCCACTTCTAGTTCTCCAGGTCAGTGTGGATATTGCACATGACAGCCTGAAGGAGAGCCAGTGCTGCTCACTGGGCTCCGGGTATTTGACTCATAAGAATTCGGAGTAATTTCAACCACACCCTCATTTTGAGGGGTTTCTCCTTTCAAAAAGTCATCATCTTCATCTTCAGGAGTATCCTGCATGAATTGAAAAGGATCAGTGACAGCAAAAATACATTCCAGGTCTCCATTAAGATTTTACAGAAGTAAAAACTGCTAAAACCAAAAAGGGTATTTCCAAAATAAATTCTGAAATTCATCAAATCTCCTATCAAAACACAAGAGTAAAATCAATAAACTTACCAGTTAACAAAAGGCACCTACAAATCTACAACACCATATTTTTCCATGTTATCATAGAAAGGGAAGAAATGAAAAACTTAACATGAGCCAGTTGTGTGCTCTTGCAGCTTGGAAAGCAAATGCTATCCTGGGCTCCATCAGAAGAGGAATGGCCAGCAGGGACAGGGAGGCGACTGTCCCTGTCTACTCCGCCCTCATGAGGCCCCAGCTGGAGTACTGCATCCAGGTCTGGGGCCCCCAGTACAAGAAAGACAGGGTACTAGAGGAGGGCCACGAAGATCATCAGAGGGCTGGAGCACCTCCACTATAAAGACAGGCTGAGGGAGCTGGGCTTGTTCAGCCTGGACGAAAGAAGGCTGTGGGGTGACCTCATTGCAGCCTTTCAGTACCTAAAGGAAGCCTACAAATAGGAGGGGAGTAAACTCTTTGAAAGGATAGATAATGGCAGGAAAAGGGGAAATGGTTTTTAAGTTGAAGGAGGGAAGACTGAGGTTGGTTATCAGGGGGGAAGTTCTTTACCAAGAGAGTGGTGAGGTGCTGGAACAGACTGCCCAGAGCGGTTGTGGATACCCTGTCCCTGGAAGCATTCAAGGCGAGATTGGATGGGGCCCTGGGCAGCCTGGTCTAGTGTTAGATATGGAGGTTGATGGCCTCGCATACGGCAGGAGGTTAGAGCTTCACAATCCTTGAGGTCCCTTTGAACTCAAGCCATTCTACAGTTCTATGAAATACGCAGTTGAGCAAAACGTTGAAAAAGGATAGACATTCCGCAAGAAGGTAAACAAACTATGTAGAAGCAATGGAAGAATGTGGGATGTACTACAACTGTCATGATTAGTTAGGATGATAAGAGTATTATATGTACACTCATTGTGAAGCAACTATCTGCAAAGCGGATGGATCCCTGTGACAAGACTGCATATACACCACGTGGATGCTCAACAGTTGTTTTGTGTGTCCGTACGCATGCACTCTTCCATAGAGGGGCAAAGTAAGGTTGGATAAATTCTTGAAGTTTCCTAGCTGATTTCAGCCACTGTTTATCATGTTTTCTATGCTTACAGTCACTAGCTAACTAAGCAAATAAAAGCAGCTGACAGAGTAGCTATGGAACTGCATTTTATAACAGATTACCCTTTTAATTGGCTTCTTCAGATTCTCTAGATCTTCAGCACTCAGTTCTTCCCAAAACTGATAAAATGGATCAATGGTCTTCTTCGATCTGAAAGTGGAATCAAAAGACAGTGCGAGTTATTTTATTCAGTAAAAATAGTATGGATTAGATTTTAACAATACAATATAAAATGGTTGGAATTCTGATAGCCATCTTCAAGATTTCACAAACAGCTCTGTCCCTATATAATCCCCAATTAATTCCATGAAAGATTACTCTTTATCAGCTTCGCTGATAAACATAAATTAAAATTGTTTGTTTAAGGAGTTCTAATACAATTAGGACTTCTAATCCCTTGTTAGACATTTTCAACAACTATGGTATTTTTTCAAATTCTTTTCCAAATTTTTAAAAGATAATCACAGGTTAAGATACACAATATAAGAAGTACTAAAGCTCAGGAAAGAAAATCAGCTGAGTTTCTTACACATTTTAGCTTACTGTTTGCTACAAGACAAAAATGAACTGTTCATTTATGAACTATACCTTTTGAGCACATAGGGATCAAAGGGGAAGAAACTATCAAGCGGGTTAGTGCACATCTGCACAAAGTCACCCCCAGTGCTGCTCCGAACAACTGGTATAAACTGCCGATTGTTTCTCTCAATAATTGTGTAGCAGAACACCAGCTGGTATTTCCTTTGAAAGATAATAAGGGAAAGATAAGCATTTCTAGCACAAAGATTGCAAATGTTTCAGAAGACATTCAAATACAAAAGTTATTTTTAAATAACATCATTTCTACCTTCCATTTTGGAACTGGTATTAGGTGTTTCCAAGACAGCCACCAGGGGATGTACGTTAGAGTCTATTCTCTTTCTCTGCACTCCTGCAAGTTTTACTCCAATTAGAACTGGCACCAATACTTGAGCAGTGAAACAGTTTTACGGTATTGTAAGATTTAATTGAAACTGAACCAGAAACAAATTTATCCCACCTAGAACATGGGCAAAATTCTGTGTTCTCTTGGATAACAATAAATACTTTGTGTTATATATCTCAAGTTCTAAATAACTGCTGTTATTATACACACACATCCATAAACTGGTATCTAGATGAAACTGAAGTGAAAAAAAAAAGGTACCTTGTAATGGCAGCAAACAAGTTTACGACAGAAGGTATACATATCTTCAGAGGGTTTAGCTGACACATGACAATGCGCTCAAAATTTAAACTCTGCAGATATGACAGACCTTCGAAATAAGAACAATTATCAAATAAACCTATTATATAGAGGTTATACATTGTATAAGCTTAACTGAATTTTTAAGAATTTCCAGTCTTACCACCATGCACAAGATCACATAAGCAAATCCTACATCTCTCTATTACAGTAGTGATCTAGCCTACAGCTTGTCGAATAGAAAAGCTATTCCAATTTATGGCAGATTGCCACAGCTGGGAGACCCTTCCAAAGACACTACATTTACATGGGAACTGAGGACACAGAGACTTTATGGACTGTTATCAACTGAAGACCACATTAGTTCAACACAGCTGGAATTCAAACATGCTCAGCAAGCAACTGGGGCCAGAAATCTAAGTTAAAGACTTATCTGCACTGCTTTCAATGCTGAAGAAAAAGATTATTTAGGTTGGTAGCCCAGGTGTGTAAGCTATCTTACTCCATTTAGAGTACAATGTAAATCTGTCAAATACTTGACTGAATTAACCATCACAAAACAAATCCACAGTAAATCTCGCAAATGAATCCCAACACCTTTCAAACCTGTTATACTCACCTTTCCTTAAGTTTCCATCCAAAAGTTGCTTATGACGGAAAATAAACGTATAGAATGCTGCCTGACATGCAGAATAAAATGGCCCATGGAGAGCTACATCACAGTAAGCATTAGCCCCTGTATCCTGATTATCAATGTATTTATGCATCCAATTAACCAGCAGATCCAGGCACGCTTTTACTGTGCTATAATGGAGAAAAATAATGTGTAAAAATAGATTCTAAAATGGCATAGAAAAGATGTTAAACAAGTATTCAAAGATCTCAGTTACAAAACTGTAATTAAGAAAATTATCACTAGAAATAATAGATTATGTTATGAGCTTTCTCCTTTATATCAGCAGGAAACAAATCAACACATCAGTACTGAAAATCCCAGTGAAAGCACAAGATGCCAGGAGATGAATCCAAGAATGCACACTGCATGGACATATGCAACAAACAATATAAATGCTGAGCTATAAGCAATGTCCAACAAGTAATTCCAATATCAAATTAAATTCACTGAGCCCACACCTTTAACAGCATAAAAATACAGAATGCATAAATACACAAAATATAAAGATTTTCA